TATGGAGGAGTGGGTCTCACCTTACGGACACTCCAAAAATAAAATAGATTTCGTTTCAGCCTCAAGAAAGTGGAAGTGCAGCCTACTAGACACAAAATTGAGAAGAGGAGCAGGTTTAGGTTCAGATTAGTACCTATTGCAATGAAATTTTTCCGTATCACACTGGAAGCTTGCTGAGAAGCTAGAGATAGGTCACAGTTAAAGTTCAACACTTAGGGATTGAGGATGAAACCACAAACACCACCTTCACTATAGTCAACAGGAAAATTTTATAGATATTAAGCAATGCCACTAGGAAACCTGCGTGCAAAAATACTGGAACCCATGGAAAGCGTCGTGGAAGGAAACCGGTATAGACATTTTTGGAAGGAAGACGTATAGCTAAGAATGGTTGACTACGGACTGTTGAAAGCTGATGGAGAGGGAAAGAATGGTAAAACAGAAAATAAACCAGCCCAGACATGAACAATAAAGGAAGGAACTGAGTGTAAGCAGAAGAGTGGTAAGATAGATAAAAAACGCCTCAGCGTCAAACTGGCAAATGACACAGAACAGGCTTTACATAAAAGAGTCTTCAGAGCACTGTATCAGATAACCATATCGCTGTTCTCCATTATGGATAATCATATCACTTGATGTGATTATGAGCAATAGTTTGTGCTCGAAACGTCATCAGTTAATATAACTGTACAACACTGTGTGATTTATCAAAATAAAATCTTATCCATAATGGAGTTATACTCAACCAAAGTGCCCAAGTTTTATACTTATATCAATATCGCTGTTCGGAAAGAGATCAGCACAAATAGAGGACCGAGAGAAAGATAGTGAAGAGAACCTAATTATCGAAATGAGGGAACAAAAGAAAACACGAGATAATTACTTCAAGCACTCCTCAATCGACTACCGCCAATGCGTCTAAAAATACCACCAGCAGCCACAGAACTTTCAGTGAGCGCCAATTCTCTGACAAAACCAGACGTGTTGAATGTCACAGACTTAATGTTGATCTCTTCCCCGATAGGAACCTAGTTTTTTGGTAGAGTGTTGCGAGGTCTCCATTGCTTGCAGCTTTTTCTGCTTCATTTGCCATGGCTTCATAATACTTTCTTTTGTCTTCCCTGGCACTCTTCTTTACTCTTTTGTTCAGTGTATCGTAGTTTGCATTCAACTCCTGTTTTTGTTGCTCATCGATGCACTGGATAATCTTTTGTTTCAACATCCTTCTCTCTTCTTTTAGTCTCCATGTGTCTTTAGTGAGACACAGTTTGTCCTGTCTCTTCTTTCTGTCCAGAACTTCCATGCAGGTTTGACTCCATACAGCTTTCACGTTATCTCAGTTCCTTTCAACGCTGGTCTCTTCGTTTGTGTTGAGTTGTCTCTCCACCTTTTTCCTTATGATTTCAGTGAAGATGTTCTTTGTGGCCTGATCCTTCAGTTTTGAGTATTGAACTTGGCTTGTGGTCTATCTGCAGCTCCTGTTTCTTTGAAAGCTTTTGCTTTGATTTGAAATGTTCCTTGTACGAGATAGTGGTCTGAGCTGACGTCTTCTCCTCTTCTTGCTTTTGCGTCCAGTAAGCTGCGTCTCCACTTTCTCGAGCAGCATTGAGATGAATTCAGTTTGGTTTTTGGTTCGCCCTTCTGGTGACACCCATGTAGCCTTGTGGATATCCTTGTGCATGTATACGCTGCCGCTAATCACTAGTTCATTGAAGGCGCAGAAGTCGGCGAAGAGTTCTCCATTATCTTTCACATAATTGGAATCCTTTATTTATCCTTTTTTTCCCATCATGTAAACGTAAAATGTAAATGAGTGAAACATAAAGCCAATGTCTGAAGTGAGATTACCAAAAAATCCTGTCATAATATTCATATCATCTAGAAACCCTGTCACGACAAAAACCAAATGTTAGAATCTGAAATTATAATTTTTCCTTGAATAGACATCACTTTCCTGGTAAGCGTGAGTGAAGATTAATTATTTTTAATGTTGCCAATCCCAGGCAAATTTGCTGTGTTGCATATCAGAGGACTAAAGATGCAGTTTGTTGATCTAGTCGTGACTTTGCATTGGCTTCAGTTGTGGTGAGAGATGGTTGCTAGCCAATTCGGTAGACAGTAATTGACGTCAATTTTTATGTCTTAAATATTAGTCATATGAAAACAAGGTCAAAGATGGACAGTAGACTTTGCGTAGGCGGATACAGTTAGCATATAGATGATCTGACACAGCCACAAAGAGATACAAGGTTAACTTTCTGTGAGAAACAACCAATCAAAAGACTGTATTTTCTACTAACAATAATCTACAATAATGTACATTAAAATCTATAAATATTTGTTGATTTTCCTTAATAAACGATCTGTCACCTGACTCTTGCCTTCTGTCGTTACACAGTTACTTTGTTATGTGCTCCTTAGAGTTCACAGAAAAGTAGTCATTTCAGGTACTGCGCAGCGAATTTGACCGAGGCGTGACTTGATACTGATCCCTGTAATTTGTCAGTCATCATTTGAAGGAATGTAGCAAAGCGAAAAGACATATTATTCTGGGTTCTAATACTTCGTCTTTCAAGGTTTGTTTTGTACGTTTAATAATGATGTAGTCTGAAGTCAATGCACGAAAATACTGATAGTCAGTCCGTCCAAGCTGTGTGTTAAAATGTAGCTAGACTGCATGAAGGAGATCCTTAAGGAGCTGTAATTCAGCTACTGAAATTGCTCAAAGTTGTTCCTCTCAGTATCTTTATCATTGTATTAATCGTTTGTGTTTTTACCAACACATCAAATTTCTGCTTCTTCTCCTTTATTTCACTGTAGCTTTACTTTGGTTATACATGGTTCTTTGTTCTGCTATCGTGTCAAACTAGCATAGAGCTGCAGATGTAGTAATGTCATATCCACTTCATTAAAGGCGACATAACAAGCCATTCGCTTTAGTGAGTGAATCAGTTACGACAAAAGAGCTTCACACTTAAAACTGATACTGATATATCCTATAAAAATATGAACAGAGTATGAAGAAAGTCAGTTTTTCTGGTGCAGAGGTTATAATAGTTGTAATAAAAATCCACAAAGTATGTTAGACATCTTCTTTTCATTAAGTGTCATAAATAATCTTCACTTAATTATTCCCTACTCCGCATAGATGTCAATTTATTGCAGTATCATTCTGTTTCTTCTCCGAAATGTTTTTGTGGTTTTCTGAAGTGTGGCAAACTGAATTGATGGATTTATATGCAAAGTTCCACACTGACCTGTATTAATTTGTTGACTGAAAGATATAATTTATCACTTTACGGAACAACGTTCAGACGCCAGGCTCACTGGTTCAGCTGCAAGTAACAGGACATTTACACACACACACACCTGTTCACAGTGTGACTTCTTGTGATAGTTTTATGTATGTAATGGAACTGTCCGAATTTCGGACTTATATATCTCATATGACATGCATTTATCATAATTTTCAGTGTTCTTTTTCCCTTTTTCTATTTCATTCAGTGTAAAGTTGCAGCCATCTATACGAATTCTCTATTCAGATATAGGGGATAGGGTTAAAATTGTTTGAATTGCTTTATAAAGAGTCGTCAGTAGGGTGATGGGATGATACTCGATAAAACTTTCTCTCAGAGCAGTCCCTTAAGCTGTGGATAACTTAACTCTCAAATAATGTGTCTACGCCACTAATGAAGGAGGAGAACGTAACTGACAAATATAACTATCTGTATAGTCAGTTTTTACCTCACCAGTAACTTTGCATTTTAACAATGAACTAATAAATTATCAGTGAAATAAACTTAGATCAAGTTTAGAAGCATTGACCAAAGGTATTTATTTCTGTTGATCCTAAAGAGGATTTATTTCATAGTGGATATTCTCTGCTTTTATGAAATCATGATTCCATTTCACTCATTTTTATGCTTTGGAATAGATGTAGAGATTTACCTTCAAATTACCAGCATGGAGCTAAGCTCTCAATTTACAGTGAAAAGTATTTGCGAAGACTCTATTTAGTGCTTCGCCTTAAAGACAGCAATGCATACTACATTAATCTTAGGATGTGATTCGTTTAAAAACTATTAGGCGTTTGATGGTTTTCACTTATTGAATATACCTCAGATTGCAGTAACTTTTTCATTGTGTTCCATTATGTTTAGCCTTTCTCTAATATATTTATCCATCCAGCTATTTCATCATTCTATGCAATGAAGTTGATACCTTATTATGAATGAACACATTTGATCAGAAACAAAAAATTAAACCTAGTTTCTGCTAACTGACTATATCAGACACAGTACTGAGTCATTTATTCCCATTAACGGTGATAATAACATGGTATGTTCAGTTAGGCTGGTTAGCTTCTAGCAATCAGTAACTGATTATCTAACAGTACGGTAAAATAGTTCATGAATAATAATAAGTTTATGTTAGTATATCTAACCATCTTGTATTTTTTTACTTCTGTTTGATGATTAGATCCTCCTAAGCAAACACTTGTTATTCATTCTGAACCACCGGGTCACATTCTGTTCCTGCATTCCCATAAGTTTATAAGTTTCTGTTTTTCTTGGACTGATGATACGCTATGCATCAATCCACTGCCACAAGAAAACTTGGTTCAATGTTCTGTTCAGAAAGACTATCAACTTTCAGGGGAAGCTGATGAGAATTTCAAAGTGATCTATTTCAATAACAGCTTTGAATTAGTCAATATCAAAGATGGAGCTTATCTGTTCACTTGTTTCCATAGGCCAACAAATATTAAAAATGTCTTTCATAAATTTATTTTCAAATACCCCAAGTACAAATTGAACTGTAGTATGTCACCCAATGTTTTGTACATTAATTCTATTAACCTGAAAAATATCACAATTTGTGAATGGAAGCTATCCCCATTATCTACTGAATGGAGTTCAGTTTTACAAGCTCATAATTTGCTGGAGAAAAATTTCACATGTTATTCGAAACCTGACAACTTAAAGTTTCACCGCGGATTAATGTTAACCACAAAGTCAAATTTGATCGCTGGTTTGTATAGTGTTCATTGTTTGGGTACATTTGTGACAAAAAACGTAATTGTAGCCGGTAGGTGTATGGTTTTCGAAGTAAAATAAATCTAAATTTTGTGCTAGTTAGTGTTTAATTCTTTAAGAAATTAGTAGTAGTGAGCAAAATGCGTGTTCATCGAATAAATGCAGTTGAACTTATAACTGGTTTTTAAGCTATTTTTACACAGAAAATGCTTTTTGAGATCTAATTCACATTAAGTATTTGTTTTAGAATGAGATTAATTAGCAGCGACGATAGCAGCTCAGCTACAATTTGTACATTGTATTGATTACAGTAGTCTGATCAAGTATCATTAATGTTATTTATGTAAGAATAAGGTTTAGGAATACAGATCATAGTTTTGTTCCTCTTAGTTTCACAGTTAGTGGTTGGCTTTTTTTATTCCTAAACTTTCCCAGTGGAACATAGAGCTTCAGGCTACAGACCTGAAATTTCGGTAGCAATGGTGTGTAATTTTACGGGATGAGGTTGCTGGCCTCATGACCAACCTTCCCTCTTTACCAGCCTTATTACTGGCTTAGCGAGGTAAAGGAGTGCGTCGGCGGGGAATCGAACCCCGGACCACATGTGTGGTTGGCCAGCATTCTACCGCCGTGCCGCTGACACGAGGTTGACTTGGCTATTTCAAAACAAGAAGAACAAGATTTGCAGCATAAAGGGTGGGCATTTTTATTCTGAGAGTTCTCTTCAGCTGCAGACGGCCTAGAATATGCTTTAAGATCAACAAAATAAGAACACACATTTCAGTTACTGGGCAGAAGTTAGGCATGAAAACAGCAGTATAAGGAAATGCGAATGAGCAAAATGTGATGGCATAATCATCGGGAATGGTATGAAAACAGACTTGTTACTTATCATAAGTTTGGAAAATAACAGGAGTTCTGATAGATGGCTTAACAACTAAACATTAATTAAACAGTAATACACAAGAAAAAAGATTATGCAATAATATGCAAGAAAACATCTAGAAGGGGTTTGAAATCAGTCCAGGGAGTTAAAATTAGTAGTGTCATAATAATAATAATAATAAAAATAATGGAAAAAAAGATACAAAATTACGCAATAAGTTGTGAAATTATTACCAAAGTGAACTGAGATTAATCACTGTTTCTTTATATATTCATAGGTTGGGTTTGAGTAGCGTTGTAGTAATAGATTCAACCATCCTAATAAAGTTGAATTTCCTAGCTTGTTCTTAATAGTAAATTCAGTTGGAATATACACTTCAACTCCAATTCCAGTGGATATCGAATGACCCTGGTAAGGAGATGGTGAACTTCCAGTTTCCGTTTTTTCGGGAATTTTAGGAGAAGCCTGTAAATGATTATTTTTATGTCATTCCTATGTATTTACCCTCACACAATATCGTATGGTTACTGTGAGTCAACCAGATGTTTCCTTGGTAGCAAGACAAAATCTGACAGACTGAATTCGAGGAGACTTTGCTACATCTGATAAAACAAAGAAAGATGTGTAACACTCAACATCGTTTATGGAGATCAGTGGCTGTCATTACTTCAAGTGACAATTGTCTATTGTCTATTGTTCAAATGGGCCTAATTCTTGGTACTCATTTCACAGTCAGACATTAGAGTCAGGTGATCGATTTATTCATACATGGTGGCTGAGTGATTCGCATTTGAGGGGCACCTGAATTATTTCTTGAAGTTTTGCATCATTCCCACTTGAAAAGTTTTGAAAGTCACATCCTTCTCATAGATTGTTTCAACATTTTCGATACATCAGCGTAAGGTTAAAAAAATTCACTAAATGTGCCTTTACAACTGACTCAGCCTTCCTACTTCGGGAATAAAATCTCCTGATAATAAAACTACAAAAGAGATTTTTACTTTATGAAGAAAACTAAACTGCTACTGATAACATTAATCCACTACGTTGTCCATACTGGAGATACTTGGTGTGTAAGCAGAGATCTCAATAGGACATTGATTAGCATCGCAGTGTTTCCTTAAAAATGTATTCATTTGGTGACTGACATTCGGTGATCTTGCCGCTTTTTAAACCAGTACTATTCCCAGCCAAAGGATTTCCTAATCCAGTGTGGTTGGCTGGAAGAATACACCTGTTTCTTGTATATGTATTTCACAGCCACAGCTTCATCTGATGACTGAGATGCAGACTTTTGGCCAGTGAGGCCTGCCAGTCGATTTGACATAAGGTGCAGACATTAAAAGCTCGAATGTGAAAGTGGTAGTGTGTTTCTAACAGACTGAGAGTAGTGTTATTCTCACCCGATTCATTGACAGTAGTCAATGAGTTAAGAGGAGGCGGATATATCTTATGAGAAAACAGTATTAGAACTGTAAGGAGGTGGAGTTTTAAACAAGTAATTAGGTGATATAGATTAGCAATTAGTGTTTTGATAGGTGTGTAGGTGGCTGATTCTTTCAGGCTGCCAATATTGTTGAGTTTTATTTTTTCTCACAGTATCTGAAACTACATCTAATGTCAAGTACCTAGGACTGAGTATTTCCTCCGATCTTTCCTGGTCCTATCACATCTTGCTAGTTACTAGAAAGATGTTTCGCTTAACGTTCTACGTTAGGAAGTTAAGGCAGTCTGGTATAAAGCAGTCTTTGCTCTCTCAGTTTGTCAACTCTTGTATTCTAACCACCTCTCTTTACTGCTCCCCATTAATCTTTCCTGGACTACTTAAGAAAGACTTTGCTTCGCTGCGTAGGGCACTAAAAGCTGTTAGTAGGGCAAGTGGGATTTCGTTAAACCAACTGGTTAACACTATTGTGGATAGACATATAATGTCATGTAAGAAACTAGCGAATTCTATATTGTCAGACCCCGAACACCCTCTCTATACTCAGCTCTCTCCTTGCATTTCATCTGGTAGAACTAGAAGCAACTATAGGAGGCTATATGCCAGGACTACCAAGTATAAAAACTCCACAATACCTTATCTGGCACAGCTGTTATGTGATGAGAAAACTGTTAGGCATGACACGATCACCTTACTGCGGCACTCTAACAAATAGTTCCCATTAGCTTTTGTTCTCCTTTCTTTGTTACTATTATATTGTTGCTCACATATTCTATTACACACTAATTTTATATTTCATATCCTGTGGTGCATTGTTTAATATATGTGAATGCAATGCTGTTCTTTTTTTATTTCTTTTATTTCTCTTTTTTCTTTTTGTTGTTGTTGCTTTTTATTTTTAAAATCTTATAAAAATTTATGAGGTAATTAGATGCAATATTGTAATGCACGCTGAAAATTCCATACCTGTACCACAAATACTGTTTGGAATAAAGCTATTATTATTATTATGATGATGATGATGATGAAAAGGCCTTGAGACCGATCATGTGTGGCTCTTTTAGAAGTGATGGAGTGTATTTTTGAGGTGTTCTTTAACCGATACTGGCCTATAAAAGAATTCCTTTGAAAAAAGTCAACTTTTTATCTCGCAGATTCAATCGACGGATACTTAAATGTAATTAATTTACACACTAACTTTATAGTCAGTCACCTCTTAGACAGATTTGACCACCAAAATAAAATCCATTAGTTTAACTGATCCTAGTTCTTAGCAGGTTATATAAGAAGTCCTTAAATCCTCAGTTTTGTTCAACTACAATTTGCCTATAATTGAACCACACATAGGATAACTCAAACTTTGCAGCTTGTTATTTTTTTCTCTTCATTTCCATTCGCTTAATTTTCTTTATTGTTATTTATTTTCTCTCATTAAATATTAATTTTATGATAATAAAAACATTATCTTCATTTTAGAAAATCCCAATGATTTCATCATTGATATCTATCCAAACCAAACAGTTATCAATGCATCACATTCAGGGTTAATTCAAGCAAAAATTCACTGGTTCAATGTAACAGAATCAATGGAGTTTCTAATTAATCAACTTTTTCCAGTTATATGTGAAATAAATTATCCAAAAGTGCCTAACTGGCCTAAGTTGAATTTTACATCTTTTACTCCTTATGCATTGCTTCCACACAAAGGTTTATTGCATATTAGCTGTCAGTCAGCCATATTTTCGCTAGAGAAGACATTCATAAAAATAATTTCTGCTGTTAACCATTCGAGAAGCTTGTGTCCGTTATCATCGGAATTGTTGTCTATGTCAGGCAATTTATTGGAAGTTAAGAACTGTTCAGAGTTATATGTAAAACAGTTGAGAAATCTCAGAAAAAATACAGAAGACGAACAAAGGTATAAGAGACGTAATTATGGAATGGTCGCATCACAAGTAGGCCATTCACATACTTATAAGGAAAAATCAAACTGTATAACTGCCACAGTAGATTACACCATCTCTGGTAATCTAATGAAGGTCATAGTGACGGAATCAAAAGAAGGAATTGAATTTTGTAACTGGAATACAAACCAGGGGACATACATTTTTCACATTATAAGTAAGTGACAGGTACATAATTGCAGCATATTGTAATTCCTAATACTCATTTAGTGTTTTCTAAACGTGTTATATTTAATAGTATATGTTAGATGATATCTGAGCATTCTTAGGTAATTCAAGATTTACAATCTCCGCCGTTCACTTTGACTTCTGCATATTACAGTAAGACAGTCAGTTTTCCAGTTTGGTCTATATTTGCTGTTTACTGAATAAACGCTGAAACCTAAATTTTTCATCTATTCCAATGCTTTAGTTTCGATCCTTAAAAAGAATATTAAAAAAAAGAGTTCTAAAGTATTGAACTGAATGTATATGTAACACAGATGGCTTTTGGAAAAAGTGTCTTGCTAGTTTCATTAATTATTGTCTGACCAGAAATAATATTACCGACTGACCGAAGTAGATGCAGACGGATTGTGATCCGGAAATCACTGGTTGAAAGCCAGCTGCTAAGATCAATGAGCCACGTCTCCACGTGTTTTCCCCTGATGAAGTTATTGCAATTATATAATGCCTGATGGGTAGTTTCTTTATTAAGCACAGTACATTCGGGAAAACGGATTCCATTTATTGTGTACAGCACTTATATTCAAAAACAAAACCACAACAACAAACTCAGTAGGTTGGTACAAAATCACTTTTATTCTAACATTTCTCATCACCTCCATACATCTGAAAATGATTTTAATGTTGAAATACAGGAAAACGTTCACAAACTTTAATTAATTAACTTAGAGAAAATTATTTTTGCATAAGTGAATACTTAAGGCTTTCTGTGATGAAAAAAACCCAATCTAAACGATAATGTATATTACAGACATTTTATAGGTAAACACAAGATGACACTGCTAAATTCAGTTTAATTTAGGAGGAATTTATCTTCCTAAGCCCACCCTAAAGGTGGTAGTGGGAAGAGAGATTAAATATACAATTAAGCCATTAAAGAGGACCTACTCAGCTTCCAAGTTATTTGCTTTTTACTGAAGGTGTTACTAACTGAAACAATCTTAAGGTGAAAAGTCCTACTTTCATGTTACCCTCAAATTTATGCATCAGTTTATGTGTGCATGACAAACCACATAGATCAGGTGAACGGAAAGAAGGATTTTCTACTATTTGTCTTAGCATTTCTGAAGGAATTTTTTATTAAAAGATTAACCAGGTTTTAGTAAACATAAATCATGAAATTAACGTAACCACTAAACGACCATCATCACCCTGATTATTGAATTGAGTATGTTCGAAAATCTTAACCTCTGTTGTTCAGATGTCGAGTTGATCTTGTAAGGAGAATAGTTCCTCATACACTAAGTTACAGTGTCAGTTATTTGTTTTTATCTAAGACAAATCTACAATTTGACAAAATTCTTAACATTTTCCTCCATTTATACTATGTTTGGATTATTAGATTTCCTTTATTCGAAATCTTATCTAAACGTCTCTGTAATCCCTAAAAATAATCTCGACACTGAATTGATGAGTTATATGTTTCTTCGAAACTACCGCATGGCGCAGGACAGAACTTCTCATCACTATCTTCGTAATTATATTTCATCTGAATCCTGCGTTTACACATATTAACTGGAAGCGTATATTACAAACACATCAATGAATGCTAAATTAAATGTCACAATGTGCAATGCTTTATTTTATTTAACTATGAGTTACTAATGAAAATGAACATACGTGTTTACGTTTTCAAGTTCCATCTCATTAGGCTGTATAACAAATCGGAATTAGTGTGAATGAAATCGTTGGAATTTACTAAATTTTTCCCCCGAATTAAAGTTAGCGCTTACACCTGCCACTTTTATTCACCTGAAATCGCTTTAGAGCAAATGCAAGTATTTATCATTCAATGGTAATTCATATTGGTAGCACCCGAAATTTCATGTTTCATATTTATTATTAATCCTCTGGGTTCTTAAAGGAACATATGACTTTATTGGCACATCATTTCTGTAGTCTGTAATCCTTTTAAGCTGGCTGTACGACTGCCTATAACTTCTTATTTCTTCCTGAAACACTCCTCCCCTGAGACACCCGACCTGTTGTTTCGCATCCGATTTCCACTCAAGGGCTCAGCAGTCTTCTCAGCGTGAGTTCAGTCTATCCCCATTTCCTTCTGCGTATTCGTTGGGTGATAGATTGATTATTGGTTGATTTTTTGCCAGATTACCTTGTTGCTTATCCGATTCAGCCCTCTGACTTTCATTATCGAATTAAGCCATCTGTTGATGAAAGTCGAAGGATTGTTGGAAATGCTTTTGGCGACGCGCACACCAAGTCTGTGTATCATACAATAGAATTGACTAACTTGACACTACCGTTGAAAATTCGGAAGTAGTTTCTTATACTGAGTGCAGTAATTTACTGATTCAGAGTAATGAAAGTTTATCTTGCTTCTTCAATCCTGTCTGATACTGACATCCTTACTCATGCTGCCTGTCTGTAGTTGAAATAAGGCTATCTAGGTAAGTGATTTGATGGTAACTGATGCTTATTTTGGTTGAGGACCGGTAGATTATAGCTAGTTCATCCAATATTCCTTCCCTTGTTCATCTATACTAATGATCTTGATTAATTTTTGCTTATAATTTCTCTAATTGTACTCTTTCTGTTCACCATTACAAAAAGTTGGTGAATTAAAAATAGGCGTCTTTCCCGAACAAGAATATTATATTTTTGGTATAAATCCCTCAATTGAACTGTTTTGGACAAATCCAAATGCTCCCAAAGTGCAGTTGAAAATACTACGTGTGATACCTATCAGCTGTGCTTGTGTTGAAGGTGCTGGTTGCATTGAAATCGGGAAAGAATATCTGAGGTCAGAAGGTGGAGTGGTGAATCTAAATATTTCAAGTGATTATCACATCTCAGATAAGTACACCTTTGTCTGCACTATCAAAAACAAAACGTATAATACATCGCTTACAATTATCAGTAAGCTCATAAATTTATTTTAAATATTTGATAAAATTTACCATAATTTTTATCTGAGTTTAAAGATGATTACTGATATTCGTATGCTCTGTGTTATCAAGAATGCTGTAACCCACTACAAAGTTTTAAATTTTCCCCTAATACCATTATGTGGGATATATATATATATATTGCTTATACCAAAATTAGCAAACTCTGTCATAAACACAGTTCAGCTATACCAGTGGTATGGACAACTTTCCTTTAAGGTTGTTTTGAGTCCTACAGAAAAGAGACCGACAGGATGGTGATTATGTTAAATAGGTATTGAAAAGAGACAATGTTTATTAAACAGCAGTTGGTTTCTATTTTAAGCAACGAATTTCCCAAGCATTATCATTTTCATGCATTGATATTTTCACTACACTGGTGAAAATATTCTACTTGTTTGAATAAACCCAAAATATTTCCTTTTGGAACAAAATGCTTACCTTAGGAACTTAATCTGTGAACCATATTGCCTTGGAATTAATCCTGTGAATACAACAACAATGACGCATCTTAGTTAATAAACTTTCACATACGTTTGTGTGTAAATTTTTTGAAATTTGAAGCATACTTTTTAAATCTTATGGGAATTCAATGAATTAAAAACACTAACCAAGTCATTTTTACATGTTTACTGGGGCTACCTAGGCTATACTGTTACAAATAAAATCTTGTAACATTGTCACTGAGTAACTTTGGCAAACATGATTTTATGAATATGTGAAAAGCACGTTGCACAAGTGTGGTATCTTATTCAAGACTGGAGACCTTATTATAACGTAAAGCAATAAGAAAAATGCAAAGAATTTTTTAATTTATTTTTTAAAACAGTGAAGTGACATAAGTTATTCTAAACATCATATCTGTCCCACGGGGTAAACTTCTGATCATTGAATCCATATACCATTCCTTCCATTTAGTGTCATATTTCTGGGGGGACTGTTGATTAGTTAGGTGTCAAGTGCTGAGTAGAATGAATCCAAAGGTATTATAAAACATGATGATGCCTTTAAAGGAAACCTAAGGAAGTGGTACATAACCATCATTATAGTAATAGTAAAAAAATCACGAATAAGTGGGACTTAGAATTTGTGGGTAATTTAGTCGAGTCCCAATGGCTGAACGGTCTACGAGCTCAAGTCATAACCTGAAAGTCCTCGGTTCAAAATCCAGTGGACGCGTACTGCCGATGAGTCCCAAACTAGAACGAAACAGACGTCAGTAGTCACTGGTTTTCGTTGGTTTTCTAACTGATATATGTCTATGGCTTTGAAAATGCATAAATAAATATGTCTTGGATTTTCAATCCACCTTTTTTTCAATTTTTCCATAGATAAAGATGATGTAAAATTGGTGATTTCGGGGAAAAATAAAATATTCCATCTTCTAGGTGAAACGCATACATACTCATGTGCCGTGAAATTTATTTATAAAAGTCTATATGAATTTAACCATCCTAAACCTGTATGGATTAATTTAAAAGACATGGGTACAGAAGTACTCGGAACAGATGACATTAAAGTCTTACAAACTAATGCAGGATGGCACTATTATGCATGTGAATTTAGCACTTACGGTCTTATTGTTAAGGAGTTTCTTCACTTTATTGTATTTGGTAAGTTGAGCTATGTGTATAGCCACTGTTGAAATTTTGTCTGCGTTTAATTGATGTCACCTGGGAATACAACAGTAATTCTTTGAATTAGGTACGTACAAGATAAATGGATGAGACTGATGATATAAGACACGTCACTAAACTATTCAAACAGAAGTTGTTGAGTGAGTTAAAATTTGGACACAATAACTCTGATGTATGTGAATAGCCTAGCAGCATGTTTTATACTGTCAGGCAATAAGTACCGACATGATATATTCGAATTAGTTGATCGAATGCGAACCATTCTCTAAATGGGTGGATTTCAGAAGCCAGAATCTAATCACTGAATCCAGTGATGCCCATATCAGTATATTAAATATCCTAGTCTGATAAATAAAAACCTACACCCCAGACTGTCTTGTTTAAACTCCTGATGGCCTGTCAGTTGGTGAAAAATGGCAAACCAACCAATGACTATCTTTTTGGCCAGATAAATAGGTCTTTTTTTTACCAAAAGTGTATTTTTACTGGTGATTAGGCATAATAAAACCATGGAATGAATGATATTAAGATTGTATTCCCAGTAAACCGTGTAGCTGTGGTTATGCATCGGCCGGTTGAGAAATTTCGTAGGCTAAATTTGTCAGCGACCTTCTTCACTAAGCAGTTTTAGCTGAAGGCAAAACTGATTTTCTAGACTAAGAGGTGCTAAAAGATCTACGAAGTAACTGATAACTGTTATGAGCCAATCAGTGGATTGTAAGTTGTCCGATCGAAATCAGTGACTGAAGACCTTAGATGAATTGAATCCAAAAGAATTGCTATGGCTTAGATTTATCCATATCTGCAAAAACTGTGTGATCAAAGCTGATGCCTTCCTTCTTATTATGTACACTTCACGATTATTGTCATTTGTATGTACTTCTGCTCCTTCCTTTTTTGTATATTTTGATGAATAATGGCGAACCTGATTGACAGAATTCAGTCTGCACCAAAGATAGGACTACACACATCACACCAGTTACTACTGTCCAATCAAAGTCTCCACTACAGTCCTACAGGAGGTCAATCACGATCCCAAATAGCTCAGTGGTAACGTCTCTGATTGCAGCACTGGAAGATGCGGTTTCGAATTTCAGAAGGGACATGAGTTCCTTCAAGGTTGCAGATAGGCCTTGCTGACTGGTGAGTGCCAACTAGCACGAAACCTAGGTCCAAGGCTTCCTGCCGATCGCCTCCAACCATCTAATATCATTTTATTCTACCTTAGTCTGTTTTTGTTATGAAGGTAAAAAAAGACAATATTTTTAGGGATCAATTGCAAGTCCTGGTTTGACTACTGAATAAGTAAATACTGTAGGTTGACAAAAAAATTAATTTGCTACAGTGTGGCTTTTGTATTTTATTTTCATATTTAAGCGAGTCGATTAAATAAAAACATTTGAGCTTTTACGTTTGAATATGACTATTATTACTCGTAAAAGTCTGGACTTTAAGTTGATAGTGTAATTAACGCCTAAAGTTTATTCATCGTCTTGTGCACCAGCTTGTTTAGTAGGCTTGATTACTTTGTGCAAGACAGATTCAATGAGTCGAGACCACTTATTTTTATTATATGACAAATTTAAGCTACATATATAGTGTTATTTATTACAGAAATATGTAGATGTACAGAAAGGTAGCTCAGATGTCAAACAGGCCGCCAACGATGTTTTGAAAAAAGAACACAATACTTAGTTTGTGAGATTCATATAAATAGTGAAAAGTATTTCACACGAGGATATGAACAAATTTAATGCATTTGGATAACTGGATTATGTCATCACTGATAACTTGATCAACTGAGATAATTATTAAGGAAGATTACTAATTTTGTTAATTTCTATTTGGCTATAGCAAATGCAAAAAGTAATCACTATTGATAAAACAAGTTGATTTAAATAACAATTTTCTTTTCTGCATCATATTTGTAGATATAAGTAAACATTCATTGACTGTTGAAGAAGATGGGATTGAAAGATACTTTTACATTGTTGACTCACCAATCTCAGTTAGATGTCATGCTGGTAACATAGGCTATCAGCATCTGGAGAGACCGTATTGGATATTACTGTCGGGGAATGTTACTTATAAAATATCGAATAGATCAAACATTTTACAGAAAAGTTCAGTAATCAGTTTACATAATAAAAGTTTCTTTTACGGAACTTTTCAGTGTAAATTAAAAATTAAAAATGTCTGCTTAACTAAAATTGTTGTATTTGTGAACTTAAGTAAGTCACATAATACTATATATATATATATATATATATATATATATATATATTCATCGGTTGTCTTTAACGGTTTCTCGTAAATTGACTATTAAATGTGTGTCAAAACCTCGGCTTATTCATGTGTATAAAGACTACTGCAAGAAGCATTTAAATGAGTTGTCTCGTCTAAATCAACATCTTTATTCATTTTAATAAGTTAGTTACAAGGTTTACAACTCATTCGTTTAAATACATTAGTGTTAGGTAGTAAGGTAACTGATGTAAGCACCAAATAGTGTTAATCAGTCACCTTGAAACATCCAAAAAAGCTAGAAGATTACCTCTTTTTCTTTTGACTCAATATGGGAATATTTCTTTCAAAATACCTGTAATTGAAAGCTTTTATCCTTTTTAAGTGCGATTTTTGGTGGCAGTTTCCTGCAGCTTTAAAGTAGGACGGAGAGTATTAGTACACAGTAAACATGTCTTTTAGTGGATGCCAATATATCATGTCTATGCTAGAAATGATGCATTTCTTCAAATTTCAAACAAACTGTTGACCTTCGTAGTGAGATTTTTTCGCAAATCAGTCGACTGACCAGACTTTTCTTTCAACCTGTGGAACGATCAACACATCTAACCACACCATTTTCTAACTTTAGTCACCTGATGTCAGTCATACAGAATAATCTCACATGTAGTTCAGTCGACCCTAATGCTAAATATGCCCAGAGATTTACTCAGCGTGTGCTCAGAAGACTCTGCATTTTGCCAGCGTCTTTACTCGGAAGAACGGTATCGTCTGGATACTGTAACTAAACCAGATGTTTTCCTGGAATCAGGAAGAATTTCAAGAGACTGAATTCGAGGAGAAATTTCTTCATCTAACAAAACAAAGAAAGATCTCTGACACTGAATGCTGTTTGTGGAAACCAGCGGTTGTTGTTACTTCAGGTGATAACCATCAGTAGTTTCTTAAACAGATGGATGATTTTGGGTGGAATGCTTTGAGCAGTATTATACACTTTCTTTGATACTTCTTTGACATGATCAACAAATTCAAAAAAGACCCTTATGTTAACAAACTATAGTAAGTGTCAGATGCCCGTAAGTGTGTTTACGCTCCAGAACTTGTCAAACTGTGAAAATTTTATTAAAAAGCACTCAACCGAGTGTGAAAAAATGTCTTCTATTCTTAATTCCATGTTTCTTCCACTAAGTCTTTGTGTGAAAACGGATCCTAGTATCTTAAATGATGTACTTGTTAGTCAAGCTGAACCCATTCTGATTAACGTACGAATGTTCATTTTCCTTGTTATGAGCTGGTATGAACAACACTGGTTTGATCGAACTATTTTGGATTTCTGAACACTAGCCAATACTTTAGTTGGTCCAGTCAGTAATACATCATCAATGTTTTCAAATCAATTTGGAGACATTCCATCAGGTCCGAGTATCTGACCTCATTTTAGATCAGACATAAACCTTGCCATTTAAACTACAGCTGGGGAACCAATGTACACGCCCTATTCAGGTAGACGTCAGATGTGATCCAACTGGATTGATGATGTAGGCCAAACGAACTGTTCTTCTATATGTTTTGTAGAGCACTCGAGTGGTGCCTCCTGAGTTAACAGATTTTCACCTCTCTCAGACAACATATCACTTATCATAGGTTTTTAAGGTATGTTTTCTTAGTTAGGCTGAATAGTTGACCAGTATTATTTACTGCTGATGCTTTTTACACTCTTTTATTTTCATCGCTCACCACGTTTAGCAGTCATCGTAAAAGGATTTGTCAGCATACATTGGAGCAGCGTTCACTGATCACCTTTGAAGCATACTGGGGTTAATCTCATTGTATCATTCATTTCGAATATAGCTGCAGAAACCTACTAGTATTTACTAACCTTTTGTCATGATCGTTAACATTTTTTATCTCTGCATCTACAGCAGGCTAGATAGTGATGATTACTGTAACGGTCAGATAGGTGTTTATTGAATCATATATGTATATAAAAATTGAAGAGAATAAATGTTAGTCATCACAGCATGCAAGCTAAAGGTATTGTATCTGATGCTAGGTAAATAATCCAGAAATCACAAAATACTTATTTAATGTTTCCTGGTTTTGATTAGTTCTTTAGTTGATATCCATAAATATTTGATTCCAGCTTGCAATCGATCTGTCTTTTAACAAAACATATGACTAGGTTTTGAGTTATCCCACTCAACATTCAGTTTTTTTTTGCTTTTTTTAAAAGGGGGCAGTATGCCTGACAGACTTCTTCGTCGACGTTATATTTTACCAAATTCATTACAATTAACGGAAAAATTTTCACTAAAACAGTATACACATCATGAATTAAGATTTCTCTCAGAGCCAGTTTGTGTAAGTTATGATCATAGAAAGGAGACTATTGAATGGCATTGCCCTTGGATACGTACAGGTGTACTTCACTTTTGTGTTGAACACACTGAACAACAGTTTATTTTAGACAAATTGTACTGTAATGATACAAAAGTATTTTATTTAGAAAATGTGTGTAAGTTGACAAATTTTACATTTACTGGGTAGACTTATTCGAACATTATTTTTCAATCTTTGACCGAAATTTTTGATCATTAAGAGAAAATATGTTTCGAGGGTTCACGATCCATCAGTTAAAACTGATATAATTACTATTCAGGTGTTGGTTTGTAGGGATTTGATTGGTTACAGGATTTCATCATGAGTTGACATTAGTTACAGAACCATTGGAAAACCTGAAAGTACTGGACAGCTGTTTCGTCCTAGTTTGGGACCCTTTAGTAGCACGCACCCACCGGAATTCGAACCCAGGACCTTCTGGTTACAAGGCGAGCTCGTATACCATTAAGCCACTTGGACCACATCCAATGGCCCATGAATTCTAATTTCTGCCAATTCACAACATAGCCAATGTCTTCGGCGAGTATTTGTCCTCACACCCGACCTGCTGTACCCTATTGGTCACCACTTCTCACTAGAACCCCAGGTAACTACCTACCTGAATAGGGCAAGTCGCTAGTGAGGAAATCAACTGTCCCTGTTGATCCTATAAATATTCGATAAGAAACTAAAACCAGTAGTACTAATATCATGAAGTAGTGATGTATATTTACAGTATATTTAAATGTTAAGGTATAATTTTTCTTGCCTTTCGAAGTTGTATCTATTTTTTGTAGAGCATTATTATTATTATTATTATTATTATTATTATAAACAGCACTCCTCAGGGAATTCTTAGTTAGCTCAGAAACGACTGTTTACTTTTTCCGGTAAACTTTAAGTTACAGATTTTAATTTTCAGCGTCCGATGCATACGTATTTATTAGGACTCCATTCAGTCTATCAGCAGGTATTACATAGAAAATGTAGACCTATCATTATTAGATGTGGTAGACAGACAGAAACACGTAACGAAAATGATAATGGTAGTTGTACGCAAAAAGTGCAAGACAAAAAGACAGTGAATAAAATGAGTAACAAGATGACTTATTACAATTAAAATTGTAACTAAATTTTTTTTAAATTAACCAGTTACTTATGGTCATGATGTCGTTTATTCGTATGATTATATTCGCCGAGGTCTATGTATGTGAATGAATAACTGCTCAAATGGTAAGTTTCCACTGTTTCTTTGTGGTCGGTCGGTCGGTCGGTTTTCGACATAGAACTTTGCACTTATGTGCGGCAGTTCAAGTCGCCACACTCCATGTAGCACACAAAGCAAGAGAAGGAAGTAGGAGAAATGCATAATATAGACAGTAAACAGAGGTGTGAGACAAAGGAATAGTAATAACGGAGAACAAAACAGTTTAATTAGAAATCATAAGTCACAAGGAGTGGATGCATCTGCACCAGCCATAGAGAACGATTTTGAGCCATGTCACCAATTGTTTCCAACCATTGGTTTTTACCGTTCCGAGGACCCCAACCAGTCAGGAAGTCTACACCTTCCTACGTGGCGTAGACTAACTGTTGTAGATTTCATTGACTGGTGCCATGTTTCCGTTTGACCGCCGCTAGCTCTCTCTTTTCCAACCTGACCCTATATCAGCTAATATTGCCCGTCGAGGAAGGCGATGACTAGGCATCCGTAACACATGTCCTAACTATCTCAGTCGATGTAATTTCAGTCTCGTCGACTGATTTCCTCTCCTTATCTAGCACTCGACGTCTAACCTCAATATTCCTCACCTTATCATACCACTTCACGAGGGAGATAGAACGCGTGGTGGTGGTGATGGAGAGGGAGAGATGTGAGTAGAAATAAAGTTGAGTATTCTGTCAAGATCGAGAAAATAATCACTTAGCAGAAGTTTAGGAGGAAAAATGAAATACAGTAGAACGCGAGGATATTGAGAAAAATGTATTGTATTTTCATATGAAGGTGATAGGGGATTGTATTTGTAAGAAATCTTGCAGCAGAGAAAAGCAGAACCACATTTTCCGCAAGAATGGATAAAATTTATACCCCCACGTAATATGATAAAAAGAAACATTATTGCTTATTTTAAATTGTACATAACTAATTTTTCTCAGTTTTGTAAAATTAATTGCCTGCTGAAGTAATAGTTTCAGTAATTATACAGAATAGAGTACACATTCAAAGTTAACAGGCTAAAAGTTGATAAAACAGAATTTAAAAATGAGAAAGAATTGGAACAGGGATATCTTTTTCTTTGATGTACTCACCAGAAGTAATAATCTGCTGATAAATCTTCAGAACTGATTGCAGAGGTGGTTCTATTAATGTTATCCAGACTTATAGTGAAATATTTTTAAACTAAACGACAAAGTTCACATAACAAACAACGTATGACGATTAAAATGGCTGGCCATTTATTGCCTTCCTGTGAAGTTAAAGTATAATCATAATGCTTAGTGCTTTCGGTACAAAGATATTCCTTAATGAAATGCATACGAATATTAGTAGCGTATTTGGATGACTATAATTACATCGCAATACGAATTGTCAGTTAATCATTCATTATAGCGAACGCAACAAAAATAAAATATAAAATCAAACGATGTATAACTGTTTACTTGAAATTAACATTATGCACTGAAAGAGAAGTAAAAATGAGTGGAAACAAATAAATGATAACTGCAATACTCCTACTATCATTATTAATAACAACAATAGAGTGCCAAAGAAATTCACAAAATTCTCTGTAGTCGTAGCCATAATTTCAGTAATCAATTTGTAACAGTAGAAGGCAAGACACGGAAGCCAAAATATATATTTCCAAGTGATCGAACCGCTTTTTATGGCTATTCAGTTTATATTCCTTAACTAATAACTGAGCACGGAATATACACAGTGGATCACTGGAATTATTAAAAAGACGGTTGCGGCGAAGAAAATTTTCTTTCCGACGAAGTCATCAACTATATGTTCGTGTATTTATGATAAATGGGTGAGAAAGTTCCAGAATAAGTTCCAGTCAAGGGTCAAATTAATAAAATTACAATTAGGAATTAAAATGACAAAATAGACAGGAAGTTTGGATACGAAAATATGGTAGTGTGAATAGGGATTAAGAAAAACTTAAAAATAACATGAATAAACAGGAAGTTTGGATGAGAAAGGCAATAGGATGGTCAATACTAAAAGAATTACCTGTTTATGATGGCCATGGCAGGGACAAGGGTTGGACGTATTTCTTTTGGATACATAGCGTGGGTTTGAGCTTTTGGATAGCTAGTGCCTCGGCTATGTCCAGATGTCTTAATTTTACTCCCTTTGATAGGTTTCATAGAAAACTACTCCAACACGGTTGCAAAGAAAAGAACAGGTGATGCTTTAATGAGACTAAATCAAAGCCTTAAATCCGTTACCAAAGAAACCGTCTTTCCTACTTGTCCTGAAAAACACGTGTTTAATTATTCTGATGTTCCACTATCTCCAATGCAAATGCGAATCTTACCACTTGGACCTGAGTTTTGTGATGTAACGTCAAGATTGAATGAACTGAACACGAAAGCCCAATTCGAGAATTTAATCGACCAGATAAAGGTCTGGTCTCAACCTTATATGATAATGCAGACCTTTTCAAATCAATTGTTTTAAATTGCTGTTTTGATTACATCAACAAAAGCCCAGCTTTCGCAACGTACTTTCCAAAGAACATCAAAGCACCTGAAAGAACTGAAGGATAATGAAAACTTGATCATCACATGACCAAATAAAGACTCCGGGATCGTCATGATGAACAAATCAGACTACCTAAGCAAAATCTCGGTGATACTATCTGGTGATAAAAGTTTCAAAAACAGTCTCTGATGCTTGTAGTTGGAAATATGATGCCTGGTGAGATAATCGAAGGAAATGACTTCCTTCAAATTTCTCCTGTTGATTATGGTGATCGATGCTCATTGTTGTTTGTATTTGGGTATCTTCATCACTTCTGTCTTGTCTATGTTCACTTGAAGTGCAATCTTCATTAAATTCCTTCTCTGATAATTTGTTATTTTTCGTCTGTAAATCTTCTAATTTGTGTGACACCAAACATCAATCGTCTGCTAAGTCCAGATTTTTTAGATTCTTCTTGTCACTTCAACGTTCTGCTGTCTTCTAGCTTTCTTTGCACAGCCAGCAGCATGATCTACTCCAGCTTTCCGGAGTTCAGCTAACAAAGATATTGAAGAAAATGAAAGACGAATCCATTATCAGTTCAAAACTATACGAACAAGTGCGTCCATCTGGTTCTACAACGCCGCGTATGTACGGCTTACCTAAAGTGCACAAACAAGACGTCCCACTCCGCCATATACTAGATATGATAGATTCCCCATATCACACAATTGCGAAATGACTGGTGAAGATTCTCTCGCCGGTGAAAGAGAAGCTCTCAAGACAGAACCTCCGTGACACATTCGAATTTGTTGATTCAATTCAGAATGTTAACGTGGAGGAGAAGAAAATGGTCTCCTTGGATGTCGTCTCCCTCTTCATCAACGTTCCACTGACAGAAACCGTTTGTTCCCTTTGCGACTACATTCAATCCAGTAGCATCGCTGTCAAAATACCAATCCATTACCTGAAAGAACTGTTACTACGATGCCCCTTCAACGTATACTTTAGTTTCAACAACGAAATATACAGGAAAGTAGATGGAGTAGTAATAGGTTCTCCCCTAGGACCCCTCCTGGCCGACTGCTTTATGTTAATATATGTGTAAAACTTGGGCACTGTCGTAGTAAGTAATTCCATATTAGTTTGTTTATTAGATGTATCACACAGTGAAACAGTATCATTTACTGGAAACGTTTCGAACCAAATTTATTGTTCATGATCATATCAATTATAATCACACGACTTTGAAACTTGAGTTTTATAGTTTCCTTTGTCCTCTCCTATTTGTCGTAAGGGTAGTAGAATTTTCCAGATATCTGGGAGAGGTGTTGATTCATTCCTATTACATGTATTTGCAGTTGATTCGGTAAACAAAGCTTCTGTTATCAATCTCTCCCTCCATCCTTTGACATTAGATTTTGAAACTTTCATCCTATCCCATCCTATTGTGTGGTTGTGTGTAACTGCATGTAGTGCTACAGCTGAACTACTCTCTAGATTTAAAAATCTGTCACAGGATGGAGGGAGAAAGTGATAACAGAAGCTTTGTTTACCGAATCAACTGCAAATACATGTAATAGGAATGAATCAACACCTCTCCCAGATATCTGGAAAATTCTACTACCCTTACGACAAATAGGAGAGGACAAAGGAAACTATAAAACTCAAGTTTCAAAGTCGTGTGATTATAATTGATATGATCATGAACAATAAATTTGGTTCGAAACGTTTCCAGTAAATGATACTGTTTCACTGTGTGATACATCTAATAAACAAACTAATATGGAACGACTGCTTTATGGCTAGCTAATAGAACAACTCCTTATCATTAACTATCGACGACCTCCATCTCTACAAGAGGTACATTGATGATAATTTCATCATTTGTGATGAGAACCTGGACATTAGAAACCTACTTTAAACCTTCAACAATGCCCACCAAAACATCGACTTTACTCTTGAAGCTGAATCCGATGGAATGTTCCATTTCCTTGACGTCCATCTGACAAGAAACGCCAACAACCCTCTCAAAAGGTCCATATACAAAATGCCTACATGGAATGGTCAATTCATCAACTTTCAAAGCTTCGTGCCCCTAAGACGAAACAGGAACCTGATATACGCTCTTTCCTCGAGGATTCGGAAGATATGCAGCGAGGAAGTGATTGACGAAGAACTGCGTAATCTCCGAAAAACCCTGATGGAAAACGGTTTCCCGCCCAGGTTCATAGACAAGAATCTTAAATCTAAGAAGACTTCCGAACAAGTTCAATTCGTCCCGAAGAAGATACTTCTGCTTAATCTAGAATTCAGAAGTGACATTGAAGCAGAAATCCTTCGTAAACACCTCTCCAAATCTCTGAGGAAAACATACTTCGCCGCGAGCCTACGACTAAAGTTTTCCTGCAAGAAACTGTTCAGCCAGAACGCGAAAGAAAAGCTATCGCATTGGGCCTCTTCAACTTGCATAAACTGGTTTACTTGCTCTTGCGGAGCTGAGTACATCGGCCGTACCATGCGCCAACTTGGAAAACGCGCTCGTGAAAACTATCCAGCCTGGTGAGTAAAAGGGGAACGAAAACGTGTATAGAGTTCAGTGACAGAACATCTGGTCAATTCAGGACATTCGCCGCCATTCGAGAAATCCTTTAAAATAATATACAAGATTCGGTCAAACCTATCAAAGGGAGTAAAATTAAGACATCTGGGCATAGCCGAGGCACTAGCTATCCAAAAGCTCAAACCCACGCTATGTATCCAAAAGAAATACGTCCAACCCTTGTCCCTGCCATGGCCATCATAAACAGGTAATTCTTTTAGTATTGACCATCCTATTGCCTTTCTCATCCAAACTTCCTGTTTATTCATGTTATTTTTAAGTTTTTCTTAATCCCTATTCACACTACCATATTTTCGTATCCAAACTTCCTGTCTATTTTGTCATTTTAATTCCTAATTGTAATTTTATTAATTTGACCCTTGACTGGAACTTATTCTGGAACTTTCTCACCCATTTATCATAAATACACGAACATATAGTTGATGACTTCGTCGGAAAGAAAATTTTCTTCGCCGCAACCGTCTTTTTAATAATTACTGAGCGTGTGATTTTGTTCAAATACATATATTATGCTGTTGCTAACGCAGCATCGAACTGTGGGAATACGTGAGAGTAATATTCCGTTGGGAAGCGTTGTCTGTATCACAGCACCACAATTTAACGAGTGTACCACATAATGACGAACTGAAGCCTTTGATTTACACGGATTTACTTTACAGGGGGCCCTAAAGAAAAATTATAGCGGTGCTGTTAGCACTTACAAGTTTTAGAAATATGGAACTTCCAGCTGACCTACACTGATCTTTAGATAATTAAACAAGAATTTGGTAAGGGGTGCATTGCAGAATTAACAGCTTTGTACAGTCAGCATAACTAGCTCCACAAGAATACTCAAAACGTTAGGTAAACTCAAACTGCAGAAACCAATGCAATGCGTATGCTAAATCCCAGAATTTCCATACAGCAGAAGCTTTATCAGTCACTGAAGTTGCTTTGTACTTGATTTGTCTGAACGACTCATCTGTTATTTATTTTGCTCGCATTACCAACCATTACGCCTTCAGTCCTTATAACACTGATCTCGGCTTTCAATTCCATTTAAACTCTACTCAGTCTAACGAAGTATGTTACGTCACTCAAATTACCTACTTAATTTCACTATAGTCTCTACGGGATTAATGTCCCTATGTTTTGTAATTTTCTTTGAGATCTCTTGATTGTTGTCTAAGACTCTAGATATTAGTGACGCATCTTTGCGAAAATCCCTTTCTTTTCCGTGGTAATGTATCATGTATGCGATTGAACAGCTTGAAGATGATATCTCTAATTTAAATGCTTCTCTTTGTGGATGTGCGATAGATTGATAACGTGTTATTTTACGATGTGATCTTTTGTTGAGTAAATGAAGGTTATTCTGATCTTAGGCTGTTTGCCGGAAGCACTGGTGTGTGATTACTGTGGACGGAGTTTTCGACCCGACCCTGATGGGAATACTCTACTTGGGTCTAAGCACCTGTTTTGTACTTAAAAGTTTACCGTGTCTGCACAATGGCACTGTTGAGAACGCACAAAACAGTCGTCTATTTGTTGTCTTTGGAGCATTTTTGCGGCTGTGCGTGTCTCAAGAAAGTTTTGTCAGCTATACAGTAGAACGCAGAGATCGGTTTCCCAGGTTCAAACTATATCTAGTCGGTTTTAGTTGTAAGAGTGCTGTCAAAAATAATTTCCAGGTTTGGTTATTCTTTCATATCAAGAGTGATGGATAGAATCCTCTTGGTGCTAAAAGTATTCATTTTTATCATTAACTTAGCCTTATATTTTAATTATTGATTCTCATAAGTTAGCCTTATGCTAATATCTTAGTCCATAACAGTCCCAATTATTTCCCCTAACTAGAACTAATTGCATGCAGTCTCTGAAACTAACGCAGAGAAAGATTTTTCTGTGTTTAAAGCCATGAAGTTTTTACTTAATTCTGCTTTAATTTGAAGTTCAAACAACTTTTCTTCTCTTTGTTTACTTATTTTCGAAGATCAAGTATTTGCCCGTTTGGAACCGTCAGAAATGTATTTTCATTATGGAGAAAAAATTCGCTGTAAATTAAATAAAAATGTTACTGTTCATGTGGATGTAATCATGATGTTTAAAGTTTACCCCGAAGGCTTACATCCAGAGAGATATTATACTGAATGGGTAACCCTCGATCAGACTTTTCCCAGTGGCGTTTACATTATTCGTTGTACAGTTATCGTGGAGTACATGGAACCGTTATCGACAGAATCTCTTATTATAATAATAAGTAAGTGGAATATGATGAGTCTCCTTTTCAATAGCACACAGAGTATTGGTTCATAGGAACGAGTTAATGAAAGCAAACACATATGAACATGCTTCACTTGTCAGTAAGGAGAAGCATTGAGTGAGCTTGATAAGACACCAGGTGAAATTCAGCATGGTTAAAAACACCGATTGACCGTGCATGAAAATTAGATAGTACTAAATCTGATAAAATTGCCAACTAAGAACGTTAACTATTAGGAAGAAGAATATAATCACGAAGAGGAACTAAACAAGACAAACGAGCTAATATTAGTAGACTTCAATCACAATGGTTAGAAGCTAATGAGGCGAAGAATTAAATAACTTTGCATCCAGGGAAACAGAATAGTTAGGCTTAACCTGTCTTGATGGGTTCAGTTCACAACCTCCTAAATGTTTTTGATTTTGCAAACTAGAGCGTGTTGATTACTTTAAAATGTACCTAATATCCCGTATTTAGTAAATAACTAGAGATGAAACTAGTTGTGGATTTTTAAGAATTATTTAAGAAGGCAACTGGAAGCTAGTATTCTCGCTTTCACATGAACCAGTTTAGGATAGATAACCAACTCTACTGCTACAATTTCGTTTACATGTATCTATGGTTTCCTTTTGATTGAGATAACCTCAGGTATCAACGTAACAGTCTAATTAAAAAGCGTTGTATGACGTTTCACTTTACATCAATTGATGTATAGTAGTGACAGTCAATAAATACACTCCAATGAACTAGGAACAATAACTTTGTATCAACCACAACATTTGATTGGTTAAATAAACCCAAGTTTAATAACACTTCAATTTAGGTCACCTAGAGCTTTCAACTTCGACATGATATATTACCAAATATAAGACTTGATTAAAAATAGCGATAAGTGGACTGCTCAAGACAGGATGATAGATACCGGCTGAGACAGCTAAGGATCAATCTGTTGCTGACTCTTTCATCCCTGATCTTCGCTGAAATTCAGTAATGAAAATATGTTTATTCTGTCATTCTTTTCTTTGTCTTAAGACATTCAATGAACCGTGATTTAGGTATCTTTATTTATTTGATGTCCTTCCTTATTGTCTTCTAGTTGATGTTAGGTGGAGCATCATGCACTACTACTTAGAAACACCACAGATTAAAAGTTAACAACGTCTGATTAGTTGTATCTCGGACTCTTCTTTTGAATGCATTCGAAGAGATCATTAGAAGTTCATCCATGTTGTTATCTATAACTTTTTTTCAGTCACATTTTTATTTTAGATAGTAAACAATGGCTTTCTCCTCCTGAGGTTACACGATTTCTTGAATTTTTAGAGTAGTATATTGATGCTTAGCATTTCTCATACTTTTCAACTCCCCACGTGGTTGACGGTCATATTTTACTACTTTTTAGTCAAATAATTTGACTTTAAAGTTAATCTTCATTAATTATTCAGTTAATGTTATTATCTTTTTATGTATCCATATAATTGAAGACCCACCAACGAACGTTGGATTTTATAAATCACCACATGGCTATCGTTGTACTCATAATGGAATGCCCATTGAAAATGTTAAATACAATATCAAAGTTTTGAATGCTACATTTGACTTTGAAATCAGTGATGACACTGTAGTTATTGACGAATACACTCTCCTAGGTGATTATATTGTGAAGTGTTCAGCACTTGTCAGTCATCCATTCAATAAAACATATAATCTTAGTCGTATAGAAGTATTACGAATAAAAGGTAAGTTAATGTATTCTTGAAGTGTTATTTGTCATATACTGTGAGCTGTGCGAATCATTATTCAACTTTGCTTGCGTGTGAAATTAGTAGTTGCAATAGGTATCGTACGGTTTAGTTGCTGAATATTTACTGCAAGAAAAAAATTGTTGTTTTCCGATAAGATGACGTTTTGATAAGCATTAATACTTTTAACAAAAGTACATACAGTTGTATGGTATAATAAGACTACATGAATTTCGAAGGTGATTAGACTATCAAAGATTGATTACTTCTAACACATCTGATACTTTTTCGGTAGAGAGTTCACACCCCACTCTCTGTTTAATTGAAGCCTTACTAGTCAAATGAATTCCTTATTTAATTCATTTTGGACTTTAATGTTGATTAATGGAACCTCAGTGTTCCGACTCTACTGATATATTGGCTCCATGTGCGGATGCTTCCACAGTGCCCAAGGATTTAAATAAGACATAATCAGTATATGCCAACTGACAAAGAAGTAACATTTGTTTTTCAGTATCTCTCTATGATATTCAAGCTGATGGGTTCTGAGTCTAAAACATCAGTGGATTTTAGGTCAAATCAATTTTTAACTTGAAGTAATTTGGTAGATAATGACTAGCAGAGGAATCCAGGATGCACATTTCGTCTTATTTGGGACTCATAATCTGGGTATGCCTGTATTCCCCAGTAAGTGGTAGTGTACCCACTGAGGCTCGAATCCAGTAGCCATCATTTCACACGCCAAGATATTATCCACTAAACCCCAGAGACATATGTGCATATTTCAATGAATTAATCTCCCAGATGATTCTGTTAAGAAGAATGTTGTTAACAAGGTCATTCCCTTGTAGGGCTGATTAAACTGCTCTGGAATTTGCTCATTATTTATATTTACTAAGTAACCCTATGCAAATTTGTATTACTCCAAGACACTTCCCTATACTAAAACTTCATAAAGTTAGATTGTACACTGTACGCGGGTTCTTTACTCATTACATATCATACTTTTACTCAGTTACAGATTTTTAGGATTTTAAAGATGTTAGTAACATGGTTACTCAGCGGAATAAAGTAGAAACACCTAACTCCTATTATTTAAAAAAAATGGTTTTATTGTCTATTTTTAAGATGATTACTGGGATGAAAATAGCATTACTCTTCTTGAATGCGACTATATGTTTGTCCGAATACTTCTTCCTCTGCTGTGGACATTCGCGTCTTTATCTGTCAGCGCATTTCTAATAAGCCAAGCTACGGAAGATACTAATGAGGGTAGAAAGTATGAGTACACTCAAAAACAGGTAATTTTTTACTTTTACCTCTTAAATTCATATATGTTAGATTATTAGTTACAGGTCAAGAAAAATTCAAATGCATATTTTCACATTCTTTTACCGCAACTCTGTAGGATGCAAGGACTCCAACAAGTGGAACAGTTTTGCGCATAAATCCAAAGTACCTTCATGCTTAATGAAAAGGCTTTACCAGACTTTTCCAATCTGTTCTTACACCATTGATATTATTGATCGGAATGTAAAGTTAATGAAAAATCTTATGGAATGAGTAGTCGAATGTTAGTCACAAGTAATACACCAGGGTCAACTGAGATGTATACGCATCTAGGCAGTCCATCTCATGTAAGAAGGCGTGAAATTTGATTTTCTATCGCTACCTATCGTCAAACGAGAAAAAATTATAGCTTTCAAATGGAATAAATTTAAGTCATATTAGCATGCAGGTTTATTCAATTGTTTGAATTAAATCAAATGAAGTTGCTAAGTAACACGGTCTTTTACAGATTGACGGGAAATTCACTTTTCTGTATGTGATTTTACAATGAAGACTTGCATTTTTTTATAATCTCCTGTGTCTAAAAGCAATTTTTGAATTTGGTGAGACATGCTGTATTCACTAACTGATTCAGAAGGACGAATTCTTGTTTTTTAAATCATGGAAAATTCCCATTGTAACATATAGAAAATCAAAACAAATGATTCAGCGAAGAGACTCTTTTCAACGAATTTATCATCAAGCTGTACAATCGTATATATATGGCTTTTAAGAAGTTATATCCGGTGAGGGAATTAAATCATAGGTGTGAATGCAAAATAATAATAATAATATGAAATGAAAACTAAAATGTTTGTGATTATAATCGTAGTTAAATGTCAAGTGGCAAAGCAAATTAATGTCATTTATAGAATAATTCATAGCATGGATAGAACTTGAAAAAGGGTGTGCAATTATAAGATTAGTAGACAAATCGAATAAAATAAAAACGTTACGTAATTTAGAATTCTTGTTTCCCAATTTATATATATACATATACATATATATATATATATCATCAAATATGAACTACAGTTGCAATCAGTTTATCAAGAATTCTGCGTAAAAGACTTTGATTTCAGCTAAAAAACATCTGAAAACCAAGCAGCATTAGATAACTGTCCCATCACACTTTGAGGCTCTCCGGTTATTTGCATTCATGACCCACACGGGATGGATTCCAGGACAGTCAGATTTTTAAACAAGCCATCCGAATGGAATCTAATGTATAATATTTTTCAACTTCTGTCAACATAAGCTGTCAGTGTCAATAAGTAGGTTAACAGATATCTACACTGACAAATAATTAAAAAATGACAAAGAGACATTCAGTCAACGACAAAGCCATGAAAACATATAGACACAGAGTTAGCAGGAAAGTAGCATAAACAACAGATCTTTCCTCCTAATGTCAACTATTAGATTTTCATTACCAACCAATATCAGTTAGAGATATCATTGAAAACCAGGGAGCACTGGACAGCTGTTTCGTCCTATTTTGGGATTCCTCAGAAGTGCTCACACACGAAACCACTAAGGATCAAACCCGGGACCTCTTAATCTCAATGACAAATTAACTCCTATATATTCTTTCTCGAAATTATTTGAAATAGTGGGTTCAGAATGCCTACAGACTTTGTTAGAAATCATGAAGTCATAAATCATGTGAATAAGGGACGTCATACACACCAGAAGAATTCCGTTTTGGTTTTAAGTATTCCTCAATATTCTGTATGTAAGATATGTTAGATTATAAGTGATTCAGAATTCAGACACAATTTTATCAATATACTTGAATAGCCTGATCAAATACCGAACGCTTTCTGCCGAGGAATATTATTTTTCCTAAGAAGTGTTGCATTTCTTTTCGGGTTTCTTGTATCTTTTTTCAGTGGTGTACACATGTGTTGTAGGCTTACAATGCAGATGTTGTTTTGTTTCCTCCTTCTTTTCCAACAACTTCTATGCAATTTCTTATCTTGGAATCAAAAATACCACCAATAAAAAATATATTCAGATACACGAATTTCTAGAAATTAATCATTTGATCGATTCAGATAAAGAATATCAAGAAATTGTTCATCAAGCGATTCATCGGTTCGATGAATTAGTTGCTTTAATAAGAGCAGTGAAAATAATAGAAGAGAGAAAAAGGGATACAAGGAGTACTTACACAGAAGGATTGAATGGTGACAGGCTACTTGACGATGAAGTTAGTGATTATATGAAGGTCACCAGTAAAATTGATAACAACGTAATCAATGAACAAGGATTGCATAAAATGTCATCTAGAAGGCCCTCCATTCTTCTGGAGGATACAAATCCACTACAACGGCGTAAATTTTCAAAGTTTGTCGGCATAGTTTTGCCGACGGATACTGAGATTGAAGAGACAGACAACACTTTTGAAGGTTAAAAGGTTAGAAATGCTTGTCAATTACATAGCATTGAAAGGTGAGTATCTAGTCGTTTATAATAGTATTCACGCCTTAACTTGTAATGAAGAGAAACAAATATCTATGTTGAATATAAAGGATAAAATAATTCAAGATTTATTCATATTTAGTGTTAGCGATAATATTTCAGAGTAGTGGATTTAGCGAACAGAGTTTCTTTTCTCAGGAAGTGTTGTTTGACTAATTTAGAAGTTCTTGGCGTAATCGTAAGATCAAGTACTAGTCTACATAGCAAATAAAGCTGTTTCGTCGAAAATGAGAATTCTTTATTTTTCACTTTTAAGTGGTGCATACTCAACTAATGAGAAGAAAGTAATCATTAGGTAATCATTAGCTAGGCTGCTAACTTTCTTAAATGCAAACAGTAGCATTTCTGAAGCTTGTTCCACATTCAATAATTTAAATAAAAACTATCCCGCATTTTAAACACTTACAACGAAGAGACTATACGGTTGATAATGATATGTAGAAAGGCCGAAACGAACTGAAGTTGGCGGGAACCTAAATAAATACATCAGGTCAAAGATACTCAATGAAAGCGCGAAATAAAGAATAGGTTGTTCTAGTGATTAGAGTCATTTTCAGTCGGTATGAAAGTAGATAACGAGTGCCGAAATCCGGTTATTGGAAGTATAAAGTCGATAAACAGGGAAAATGTTTAAAACAAATGGTAAACATTGGTGGAATGAAACAGCGATACAACTACTGAGTGAATAACTGGATATGAAATAATTTTAACATGCAATTGGAAGAAACTTTTTATTCATATTTTTGTAACGCTTAGCTTAGTTTTCCAGAGCTTTACGCAGGTAACAGCGGCATATTCTCTATGGTATGTTTCAAAGTCGACTGCATTAACGTGAATGTATTCGTATTTTAGAATTTTAAACATTGTAGTTGAAAACTAAAGTTCATGGTTAAAATTCACTGATTGTTGAGCATTATATTGTGGATGAACTATGTAGTTAATACACTGGATACAGAAAATGACACAATTCGCTAACACGAAAATGGATATGGATTAGTTACTTTAACACAATGTTTTCTAGTAATGAAGAGAAAAGGGAATGATGAAAGTTAAACAAAGGGATTTACATCAGACTGACAGACTGAGTGAAAGAGCTTCACGCACAGCACAGAGTCTGCAGAGAATTAAAATTTCCCATACGTTACAGAGGTTGTAACAAAAAGTTAATAAATTTCGTGAACATTTTTTAAGCATTTTATTATAAACTGATACATTTGGTAGCAATTTGTAAGGCGAAATTATAGGATGTGTCACGGTGGGTGCCACTGACAGCTGCTGGTAAGGTTCTAATAATAATGTCTATGGGAACAATTGAATGACCTTGGACAAGGATTACTGGAATTACCACATCTTCACTTAATGTGGAGTAATCACTGGTCAGGTGGAAAAAGCGCCTACCTAATCAGTATCACCATTTATTCTATATTATTGTTTCCTTTAGTTCCTAGAGGAACATAGAGCCTCAGCTGCACGTCTCCATTGCGTTCGGTTCTCCGCCAACGTTTTCACCTGACTCCAAGTCTGCCCACATGCTTTCATCTACTCTTCACATGAACTTCTCCAAGTCACCCTTGGACGAACAACTCGCCGCTCCCCTTTCGGGTTCCACTTGAGCAATGGCTTGTTTATTGATGTCACTTGGTGGTTTGTTTTCTCAGAGTATGGCCAATCCACCTCCATTTCTTCCTGCTTATTTGTCGAACAATCGGTTTCTGGTTGGTTCTAGTTAGCCCAGAATGTCAAGATCATACCCATCGCAGTTATTTGTTAGTTACACTTATAGAAATACTAACCTTTCGTCTAAATATTGATGGTAGTTGCTCATAATCTGTCAGCCAGGTGAAGCGGTTAACGTATATTATTTTATTAAAATAATTTACAGTCAACATCAGAATTTGACTTTTAAATTTAAATTACATGTCTGGAAAACAGATTAAGTTACTTCTACTTTAATTGAATCCTAATGTGTCCCAGCAAATTCACAATTTAACTCAACTTTCAATTTATCCAATGCACCTGCAAAGCCTTCTGACACACTTCAGCATTTATTCCATTCTGGATAGGTTTCAGCGAAGGTTGGAGGTTATTCATAGATAAAATGTGAATGGAAATCAGCTACATAGTTGTTGAAAGAATCACAATGAGAGCAAATCCTTGAGTCTGTATCTACTATAAGCAACAAACAAATATCCATATTTCTGATAGGTAGGAGGATGTCTGCAAGTCATTTGGCAGTAGCATGATATGGGGAATTTGTCATTTCCAGGATTGGACTTAGTGGCACGTTCTCCTTGTGAACTTTTGGCAGACCATATAAACGAGGAATCACGGAACCAGAGAGTCATATTTGTTCAAATAATTCAGAGCTGATAATCAATTCGTTCTTCATCTTCTTCAGCATTTGTGTTATCTTTCCTTCAATTTGTTCCATTCGGTCTTCCTGGTTACTTTCTTTTGAAAATTTGTTTTCATCTGACGTGATGGAAAATAAATTTTCAAAAGGAAGTTATCAGGAAGACAGGTTCCGTGATTCCTCTTTTATATGGTCTGCCAAAAGTTCACAAGGAGAACGTGCCACTAAATCCAATCCTGAATATGACAAATTCCCCATATCATGCTACTGCCACATGACTTGCAGACATCCTCCTACCTATCAGAAATAATCTCTGCAAGCATAGTGTTTCAGATTCATTTGAATTCGTCGATTCAGTAAGTGATATTAATGTATCCGGGAAGAAAATGACATCCATGGGGGTTACGTCCCTTTTCACCAAATGTCTATAATGTCTGGTAAACTGTAGTTAAAACTGAAATAGGAGCATTGCTGTTCTCTTTTAAGGCATCTATTGTCAATCAGCTGCAGACCATTACAATGCTAATAAGACAAAGTTTGTTGGTTGTTAAAACGTTTATTTAGCAATTTTGATTTACGATAGCAGTATGTAAAATAGACAAAACCTACAATTCACAGTAGTCCTCAAGTTTCTGTAGGCGTTTTAACCTGAAAAAACACCTAACAAAGGTTTGATTTTGCAGGTTACCAACTTATATCCTTGCCTGAAAACAAACCATTTCGGATAGATAGAAAATAACAGTGCTGTTGGGAAGTAACATTAGAATCAATAGAAACATTGTCTCAAGCACCTGATGAGCCGTCAGCTATCTCGAAAACTCTAACAGGAGCCAACTAACTTGAAGAGTTGACTACAGTCAACATACTATGCTGTGGTAAACGCTTCACTGCTTCAATGTAGGAGTACAATTCAAAATTAGATATGTCTAATTTTATATAGAATACAGTACATTACACTAGTTACTGACTAGTGTGCAATCAAAAATATCCACTACAGTCCTACAGGAGGTCAGTCGGGAGCCTGAATAGCTCAGTGGTAACATCTCTGATTACAGCACTGGGTGATGCGGGTTCGAATCTCAGAAGGGACATCAGTCTTCAGTTGCAGATACGCCTTGCTGATGAGTGCCAACTGGCACGAAACCTAGGTCCAAGGCTTCCTGCCGATTGCCTCCAACCATCTAATACCAACATTGATACAGTAATAATAACGATGGTTTTTCTAGCAAAACTTATTGCTCGTATTTATATCAGTCATCGATATGGTTATGAGCAACAAATACCACTTCTTCGTCGACTCCAATTAAGAGTGGGCTAGGACTGACATTTTTAAATAAAGTAAAAGCTGGAATCTGGTAGGAAAAGGAAGACACACTACATCCCGAAATAGAGACGGAAAACAAGTTGAGAAACAGATGAATGATCAAACAGATATCATGAATGTGGTGAAAGCAAAAGATACAGAGCGTTAGCGAAAGGTAATCACCATAGGCATCCACAGTAATTAAAAGAATTTCTGAAGAAGACTGATACTATAAGAATGAGTTTGGCAACTTTGGTAGAGTAAAATTCCATCATAAGAAAAAGACATACACAGAGAAGAGAATTTTTTGACGATTTATTTTCAAGAAGTATACAGCCGTAATTATAATTTTTATAATTTCCAGTTAGTCATCCCCATCTAGATTACACGTTACATTATTTAATACATTCTCTAGGATAAATTTATTAGCATCCGATTGGTCTTATGGATTCTTTGTAAAGTATAATTACATTGTACAGCTTATGGAAATGAATCGTCGGAAAGAAAATTTTCTTGGTTGTTGGCGTCTTTTTCTTATAACTCTACATGAGAATATTCCGCTCATACAATTCCATTAGAGAAAAGTTTTATTTGATAAAATACACTGTGATACAGTTTTACTTGCCAACAAGGTTTCCGGCACAATTCATTGCTCAGCCTTTCTGAATGTTGATGATTTTACATTAAGCATTTGAATAAGAGCTTACCTTTATTCAAATCCACCTGGTGTTGAACCCTGAAACACAACCAATAGAATCAAAGCCTTACCAGCTGATTTGGAATTGGCTATCATACATTTCAATTAAGATGTGTTTTCATATTCACTGGAATGGTGTGACTAACAGCATTCACTTTTGAGACCAACTGCACTATACTGTCGAAGATGGTGTTTCTAGTAAGGATACTATTTAATTCATATTTATATACACTTACCCAATATACCTGTGTTAACCTTTAGTTATCCGGACTCTGTCAAATCACTTTTGCAAATGGGGACATGTCTTTATTGTTACCTCAAAAGAACCATTTTGAAGAGCTTGAAGGTTTTTTTAATGTAATGGTACCATTATTATTATTATTTGCGAAAAATTTAGTGTATAAGTGACAAGCTGGTCATTGCATATAGTTCGTAAAGACTAAACCTAATGCATTTGATGCCTAGGAATTCGATAATTTGCCGAAGTATGTATATTAAGAATTATGCACCGTTGTAACAACTACAGCAAATGATCCAGGCCTAGTTTAACGGTCGGAACTAAACCCGGAAAAATAGGAATGGTTGGTTGTGGGACTAGAAACCTCATCACATATAAAACAACCCTATCGCCACGTAAACTTCAAAGCACGGAGAAAAATATGGAAAAAATTGTCATCCACGGGAGCATGAATGACGCACCATGCTTGAGAATGGCTAGAAAGGTTATTCAGATTGTACAAGAAACGAGAAGTATAAAGCATAGAAGTACTGGGAATCCATGAGAGTGGATGAGATGG